CTTCTAACATAATCATGCTGAAAACATACCAATAGAAATACCAAGCTCAGTGCAATGTAAATATCGCATTGTCACTTATTCCCTCAAATTACTATGCTAGATTGAAGGAGAAAATAAATTGCTATGCTACAAAAATTCAATTAATCTCATAGGGGATTGATACGAAAACAGATTGTAAGTACGAATTTAAGGGCAATATGAAAGTAGGGGTAGAAACTTTCTGTTAATTGGGCAATATGAAACTAGGGTTCGAAAAGCACCCTTATTACGACCAAAATAGTAATATTCCGGCTCTCAAATTGAAAATAGAGTTCAAAAACGGACTAAATATCGCAGCTTTATCACAGAAAATACAAAATTTGAGATTGACAGAGGAAAATCAAACCTCTTGTTGCTGGCGACGATGTCCAGATCAAATAGAAGGTGGAATCAATGGCCTTCGATGGAGTTCAGTTCCTTTAATTGCATCGCTGTCGATTTTCTCCACCAATTTCACTGCGCGAGGATGGAGTTTAAGCTTTTCGGCTGCTCTGGGAAGAAGAAAATGAACACAGAACAAATATGGTATGCGGCTCGATAGGGATAACAGGCATAAGGGGTAATGTTGTCATTGGCTTGTGTAACATGTCAATTAATCCATCAAAGTAAATATAGGATTCATTTATGCGAATCACAGGCACAAAAGTAAACAAGGGATCCATTGCTGACGTGTAAAATTATATAGGATAACTTGTCTTATCCCAATTCCCCAAAGTAAACGACCCCTAAGACTATAAAAGCACTGATCTTAACAAAGATAGAATAATAAACTACACAATGGCATGGATTACCCAAGTAAGTATGAGCATGTTTGTTTAAAAGATTTTTCAAAAAAGTTTCAACGTTTAACTCAACCACTTTTTTAGTTCTCTTATTGGTTTAATTGAAGACAATTAGTAGTTCAGTACTTAATGATTGGAGTATGTTGTTTTAGTGGATATAATATAATCAATATGGTTTAAGTAAATGATTGAATGGCATTATGTTTGTTTATTTTGAACTTTTAAATGTATGTTGATTGATTCTATTGAAAACAGTATTTGGTTGAGTTTTTTTGGATCATTTTCTTCTTGATTACGAACCGTTTTGTCTTGGTCCCGCTTGACACCAGTCCATTTGAGACGGTATCTCGTTCTGGACTATTCTCGAATCGGTTCATAAAAGCGGGACATGTATTGAGACAGGTCAAATCTCATACTGTCCCGGACCACGCCCACTCCTAAGTTGAATAATTTTTGCGTGATTTTATACGGGGATTATTATTTACCGCCCCCCTTGGACGTTTTTGTCCTTCACTACTCTCTCTCTCTACTCTTTCCCTCTCTATTTTTCTACGGCTCTTTTGACCGTCAAAAATTTTTCGAAAAAATGCCAAAAAAATATCATGACACCGACAAGACATTAAAGATTGACCATGTATTTATATTTTTTTTACTTTGTAAATTGGACGAGATCGCGCGCGTCCGGCCAGGCCGGTTGGACGCCACCGCCTCGCGTCCGACCAGGCCGGTTGGACGCGCCAAAAAAATAAATAAAAAAATAAAAAAAATATTTACAAAGGAAAAAAAATACATGATCAATCTTCAATGTTTTGCCGCTGTCATGATATTTTTTTGGCATTTTTCTTGGTTGGACGAGACCGCGCGGGTCCGGCCAGGCCGGTTGGACGCCACCGCGCGCATCCGACCAGGCACGTTGGACGTACAAAAAAAAAAAATTATTTACAAAGTAAAAAAAATACTTGGTCAATCTTCAATGTCTTGTCGATGTCATGGTATTTTTTTGGCATTTTCGAAGATCTTTTACGGTCAAAAACTTGCCCGGCTTTCTTTCGGCTTAACTTAAGAAGGCTGCGGTGAGAATGAGGATCACTTCGGAACTCTAGGAAAATGGGAGAACCGTAGAAAATTGAGAGATAGTAGAGAGAGTGAAGAGCAAAAACGTAACTCAGGGAGAGCAGTGAATAGTAATAGGGGAGAAATTCACTTTTATACTGCCTTCATACAATCATGCACGCCGTAGTCAAGCTTAACAAACACTGGATAAAACTCCTAGGATAGTATTGTTCACCAAAACCAAACGAGTTTGCCCGTACAAAACACCACAATCTGTTACTGGGGTTTGGCCGATTGCAATTACAGACGCTATTGACTATTGTACACAATGGTTGGAGGTTTGTACGGCGACTTACCCCCTCCGTCTTCCGCCGCGGAAGACGGAGGCGCCACCACATCCGCCACCAATATCTGGTCCAGCAGCGTTAAGATGGTCCCTCCCACCCTCCGCAAGCCCCAACCTCCTCAGACAATCCTCCGGCCACCACACACCAAGCCCAAACAATCCCAGCCTAAGCTCACCACCACAGCTCCCCAAAACGCCGACGAGAACACAAACCCTAACCCCAGCACGGCGTCCTTTCAACCCGCGCTCGTCGGAGTCACCAGCTCCGTCGTCGACGAATACGATCCGGCCCGGCCTAACGACTACGAGGACTACCGTCGGGAGCGGAAGCGGAAGCAGGCGGAGGCCGAGGTGAGGCGGGAGCTGGAGGAGAGGGAGAGGAGAGAGAGGGAGAGGGAGGAGAGAGAGAAGCGAGAGAGGG